GATCGTTAGCTATTCTGCAGACCAAGTCTGTGAGCAGGCATCTCTGTTTTTATATGGGGCATAACCAGAAGATGCAGCTTGGGAGTCATGAAATAAAATGTGTTTTGTTGGGGGAGGGGAAAGTGGAGGTCAGTGAAGTCAAGGGCAGTATTTCACTGGTTTTGTGATTTTGAATGTTCAACTTTTTTTTTTGGTCTTTTTCTTACAGTTCAATAAGCTGCCCCAGCTATATGGAGAATTTTGTTTTTCTTTTTCTAACATCCTGGTGCTGCATTTGCGAAGCAACATCAGCTATTAAGAGGATTATCAATAAAAAAAAAAGGTAAAAAAATCCCAATTTACAAAAAAAAAGGTTAAGCATCTTAGAAAGTAGACTATTGTTTACACTTGGCAAACTCCAATATGCTAAGTCTTCAGAGCCATTTTCCTTTAATGACTCTTTTCCTCTCAGTCTGAGGCTGCAATGATCCCTTATGCCTTAGTAGAAAAACCCAGAACAATACCTCTCTATTTGAGAAGAAAGAATCAGCTAGACAAAGTTTGATACACTGTCAGTGCCATTCTTGAGGGGAAAAAAAATTGGGATTTCATTTGAAGATTTCATGCATGATTGCCCTTTTTAGAGTTGTCTATCATACTTTTTATTTGAGGTCTTCTCAAATATCAGTAAAATATCAAAGGCGAGAGCTGTTACCCTCTATATCATACTTTAGTATTGCTGTTCAAAACAGCAAAATAGAAGGGGAAAAAAAAACCACACAACACGCCAAGTTATCTCAGTAGCTAGCTGGCTTTAGTGATTTAGGTAATTTCAAGTCCCCGAATGCCACTCAGTTCAGTACTCTTTGTGTCATCAGCTTTCTTCTCCAGAGAACCAGCTGCCACTGAAAGGTGAGAAATATACTGGGCAAGCACAATGACAAAATACTATCAAGATAGGCTAAAAAGGCAAGGAAAGCACACATTAGCACTTCTGTGATGGCTCCAGAAGGGTCCACTGGAAGAACAGCTTGACCCCAAGCAGCAAGGGCTTCGACCTTTCCAAAGTAGAAGGCAAGGAGGGGGATGGAGAGGGAGTGAGGGCCAGTGACTGTCGCTTTAAGCTGAGCTATTTAACCCTTTGAAATTCAAGGACAGCTCCTACTCTTAACGAACAGCTATCTACAAGGCTTACTATTTACTCCCCATTCAGAAATGCCAGCCAGCCATCGCTAGCCGATCTGCAAAGCACGTGTGGGTTTGCCGACAAGCTAAACTCAGGGGTGAGGGGCTGGGGGAATTTAATTGTTGATGGAGGGAAATAATAGGTATCTCTAGCAGTTTTAATATGATCTTAAAATAGGAGGAAAGTTTTCTGTTATGACATTGACAGAGAGGCGATGATTTTGAGTAATGCAGGTTGATGTGGAGATGCTTTAAGATTAAATAAGAGCTATATAAAGGCTTGTCAGAATGAATTCTAATGTGCCAGGAGACATTTTGCATACTCTTAAATATGCAAAATGTCTTATGGCACCCTGGAATTCATTCTGACAAGCCTTTATATAGCTCTTATTTATACTCCTACTTTATTTTAAGGGGACAGGTACCATGAGCTACTCTTTGAATTGAAGTAACAAAGAGCAATGTTTATTGATTTGTTTCCTTCATATTAAAAAAAAAAAAGGAAACAAGACACAAGAACAACCAAAAGTGGAAGCTTGTTTAATATTGCTCTACCATCATCCTGAAAGGCATAATAATTTGAGTTACACATCTGAACTGATTGGAGTTACAGAATCATATCTCCTTTTTGCATTTAACAATATATACAATATAAAATAAATACATTTACACAAATGGACATTTGTTGGAGCACACAGTATGATACACATCACAAAAATATACAATTGATTGCTTTACAGATGTGAAGCCCATCTACAGCTATAGACATGGTTTTTGTTTTTGTTTCATTTTGTTTTTTAACTACTGGCTATTATGCAACTCCTGGATTATTATAAGCAGTTTAAATTTTTTGTCCTTTTACGATCTTTGCACATAAGACTGCCATAAAATGTTATCCTAGGCAGGTAAACAGAGACGCTTAAATAATTAAAATACAATCACCAACACCCATTTCCTCTTCTATAAGAAAAATAGCAGTTTTAAATTTTTTATATCTTTTATGTTATCATTTAAATGCAAAATAGTGGAATAAATACAACAATTTGATCTGATTGAAACACAAGTGTAACTTCTGGGAGTCACACAATCATATTGCTTTAAATAAGAAAAAAAATAACTGAAACAAACATAGAAATCAAAATCATCATGGCTAAAACATACACCTTTAAAACACTCCCAAACTTCACATTAAGTAAGTGGTCTTGGTTGAGCCTTGAAAGAACTCCCCTCCAGGAAGGTTTAAGATGAGCATTTACCCTACTAAAGTCCACATGGTTCGTTTGACCAGTTTTGCTTCGGAATCTTGAGACAGTTGTCCTTTGTATGGCCAGAAGTCACTGAAAAAGAAAACTAAAATTTGCACTGTTCCCCTTTAATACATTTCTATCTCTTAGGTTGTTTGGCTTTTGACTCTGAAGCCCAGGTTCTTTAATGTGATACAGTGAAAAACAATGTTTATATATTAGCTATATTACATATATATTATAGTATATATATGTAGTTGAATAGTAGTTAACTTAAAACCAGCACAAATCTTCTGGAAAATAAACATTATTATTATTATTATTTTTTGTTAAACACATATATATATATATAAATAATCTTATAGAATCAGCACCTTTTTTTCCCAGGAGTTGTACTTTTTTTTTTAAATCTGTTATTTTAAAAGGGATGTGCCAATTTCTGAACTCCTATCACAGCTATAAATTTCAAGTTATTGACCATCTGAATGAATTGCTAATGATGATTTATCTAGAATCACACTAAGTCACTTCTCTACTGAGAAACCACAATCTACAAATATAGTCCCATATAGCTAATGATAGATACACAGTATTTCTAGCACAAGGCTGATAGAACATCAGCCCCACGGTATTTTGTTTAAAGCACACGAAGTAGCGATAGTTTTGGAAACTTGTCCGCACCAAAAAGTTTTGCAACAACACAGAGCGAGTTAATAACAACATCTGAGAGATGATTGAGTAAAAGCCATATTTACAGCATTTAAAAATTAGACTTATCTATATTCTTGAAATATTCAAAGTTTTATTTCTAAGCTATACATTGGTATTCTATAATAAACTGTTACAGAAATTATTCCTTGTTTTGAAAATATTATGATTTTCGATGTGTATCTGTTCATAATGAATACTTGTTTGGAGTTTCAATCTCTTAATTATTATTAGGAAGAACCTTATTACCAGTAAGGAATAGAATATACTACTGTAATCTCCTGAGGAATTGTACATCCAATATTGTCTCTAATTCTACCCTGTGTCTAAAAGCACACACCACAAGAATCCAAACACCACAAGAACAAGACAACAGTCTTTGAATGCAACATAAAAATTCAGAAAAGCACAGCAAACATGAAACATTGAAAAGCTGAACTACATTTCTTTTGTTTGTTAGGATTACAATTTTAATTACATCTGTGTACATAGAATAAGAATGTTCACATAATACAGGGAGCAGCTACTAACACTGGTACATTGGTATAGCATTGGATGGAGGTTATTGTTTATTGGTTATTTAGCGACTGTAGTTTTCTGGGGGCATCTAATTGATTTATACATTAGATTACACCTCTTTAACAGTCTTGAACCTGACTGACTTTCATGCTGTGACAATACTGGTTGAAAAGCACGTAGTCTTGTTTTGCTATTGGTTAAAAAAAAAAACAACAAAAAAAACTGCCATTAAAATCAAGCCCCAAAAAACAAAATTCTAAATGAATAAACTCACACGAGTCTGATTTTGGAATTTGGTCAGATGTTTGCTATCTTTCTCATTTTCTGCTAATTTTGGCATTTAACTTATTGCCTCTAACAAATATTGGCTCACAGCTCCTTCCATGAAATGTTCCTAACTTTGCAAATAAGCATTTCTTTCATCTCTTTTCCACTGCTACAGTTAGAAGGCAAATGACAACTTTACCTCTCAGGTACAGATGTGCTCTTCTAACAATTCTACAGATGTGTCCCCCATGTGGGGTATTTATATATTAGACTATTCATAGCCCCTGTGGGTGTAATCTAATCCCTTGTGTCAGTGAACATTTAGCTATACTGGAGCTCATGTTAAGAAACTGGATGTTTGGGACCAGACTGGCACACAACATAAATTGCATCCGTGATAATATGCACCTTCCCTTCAACTATTGCTTGAATAAGATAAATTTCCACATTAATAAATGGCTGAAAAGTGGTAAAGCTGGTACAAAAAAATCTCCATTTGTAAGAAGAAACAAAACATTTTAAAAAATCTTCCTTCAGGATTCATTTGTCCTTCATTATTGTTCATCATTGTTCAAAGCCAGCACAAAAATGCAGTATTTTTCCTTCTCTTTAGTATTGCATGAATGAATAAAGCTTAAACTATTCCCTGAAAAAGTTACATAGTAGCTAAACCTAACAAATTGGAAGACTTGAAAAAACAATTAAGGAATCAAATGGCTGTAACTGATCTAGATGGAAATGCAATGTTAAGGAGCAGCCGATGCCATGTTGCTTACGACTTCTAATTAGAGACTGCTCCTATGAAATCTAATACTGCATTGAGTCAATTCACTGTGTTATATTTTACTGTTAGGTACGATGGTTCTCTCTTTGATTCCCTTGTCATTGGGAACATTATGGTTCATAATAAGTTCACTGGTATCCATATTATGGATTTCCATCCTTTGGCAGGGCTGGCTTCCATCTCTCTTCAATTAGAGACCTCTTTTTTTAAAAAGTTCAGTGGAAGGAAGGAAGGAAGTTAAGTAGGAAGGAAGGGAAGAAGGAGGGAAGGTTGATGAGAGAGAAGTAAGGAAAGGAGAGAGGAGGAAGGGAGATGGTGAAAAGGAACACTTGTAGGAAAGGAAGGAACAAAGAAAGGGGGAGAAAGTGAATGAGATAAGAGATAAAGTAGAGAGATTGCATCAAAAGATACAGAGGAAGTTGAAAGCTGCATCACAGTCTTGCTGCTAAACGATCAGTGCAGTCATTTTTTGTTGTTGTTGCCGTTAAAGTTTCTTTGCCACTAACTATCTTGTTTATTTTCCCTTTTTCAGCGTGCATGATGGGAAGGCCTAGGGTGCTTTTAGTCAGACCTTGGCCTCCAGCATTTCCAAAAAAAGTTTGTGCATAGGAACTTTGCCTTCCAATTTGATGTTGTAGAAATGCTGCACAGCCTTGGTAGACGTTTGCCTCAGAAGTGGCAGAGTCATCAACATCTTCCCAGCTCGACGGGGGTCTTCCATGTGCTGGCCAGCCTCGTAATCCTGAAGAGCCTCATGTAAGACATCTTGAAGTTTCTGCACTGCTTCAACATCTTCTATGTGCATTGAATCTGTAAAACAAAGATGCAAAACATGCTTTAGTAGAGCACCAGTGGAAAAGTATTACACTGAAGTTGATCAAAAATACTAATAGGCTATAATTTGATTATGACCTTTAAATTACTTTCAAATCCATTTTACAATTAAACTTTTTAAAAAATTTCTATAACTGACAAATGATAGATAATTTCAAACGCTGCTATGAGGGGAGGAGGAAACTTGCATCTTTCATTCATAAATTAAGTTGTTTCCTTAAGGAATCAAACAAATGTTTAAACACATACCAATAATTCATTGATCCTATACTTTTATTGAGCATTTATTATGTTTATGATAGAGTGCTATGTGCTATTCAGAATATAGTGTTTGCTATAGTGAAAAGATCACTCGAATGGGGAACAGTGTGCCTGGTTTCTGGACCTAGCTTTGCCACTAACTTGCATAGTAATTCTATACGTCACTTTATTTCTAAATGCATCCCTCTCAAGGGGGCAGCTAGGTGGCACAATGGATAGAGCACTGGCCCTGGAGTCAGGAAGACCTGAGTTCAAATCCAGCCTCAGACATTTGACACTTACTAGCTGTGTGACCCTGGGCAAATCACTTAACCCCATTGCCTAGCCCCAAAACAAACAAACAAATAAAAACATCCCTCTCTAGAAAGCAGGGTTGGACTAGATAATTGGGGGGGAAAATCCTTTCAGCTCTAAGTTTCTACGAGATCTATGTGTTTTATAAAAGTATCCTACTCAGTCCCAGCCTCAAGACGATTATGATTCCAGTGGAAAGTTAGCCTAGTACCCTGGAAAAAACACTGACTGTGGAGTCAGGAGAGACCTGGGTTCCAATTCTGGCTCTGACACTTACTAGCTATACGTCCCCAAGCAAGTCATTTGACTTTCTCTGGAACTGTGTCTTCATCTATAAAATGAGGATATAGTACCTACACCACTGAACCCACATAATTGCATGTGAGGAGAATATTTGGTAAATTGTAAAGCAAAAGACATAAAGTTATTATTAAGAGAGAGGGGGAAAATGAGGTGATTCAGGTCTTAAAACAGAAACTGAGGTAAGTATAAACTCTGAAGTTGTGATGCTTTTGTGTAATCAATAGAAATAATGCCACGGTCAATAGTACTTTTTTTTTTTAAACAACTGGCTTAATATTACAGGTAGCCTACATTGCAGTGGGAAAAGGTATCATCTTATAAATGACAACTTTCTCATAGATTCTTCACGTCTGGAACAGGGACTTTGTCTAAAATGGATCATTTTAAAAACCCAATTCCAGCAAAAGAAGGGTTAAAAAGGTTGGCTCAGTGATCACTCTGAAAAGAAATGTGCAAATGGAGAAAAAAAAATAAAAGTTACAGCTCCAGCTCTAAAACAGACACTTAATTATATACAAGTTTGAATCATTTAGCACGTTTTATTGATTCTGATGACAGTTTATCTGTTAATTACACATAATGGAGTCCTTTGGGGATTCTACATGTTTAATAATTCTGGTTCTCAGTGAATGCAGGCCCTAAGATACATGCAGTTAGTCAAATCCTGCACACAATTCAAAGAATAGAGAATGTGCAAAAATGGGAATCTTTAATTTTAAAAAGACCTATGGTTTTTAAAAAGTACAATAAGGAGCATATCTAATTAAAGGAAAGGAAAAGGATATGTGCCACTGACTTTTTTTTAAAAGTCTAATTTTGCTTTGTGCCTCATTCTTTATAATATCATCTTTTCCTTTTTGGTCACACTATTGATAAAGCAGTAAGCATCCACATTAGGCAGTCATGGATGAATTCCCTAATAGGGTTCTAAATAATCTGCAAGTGTTGCATGGACTTTTAAAAAGAATGTTCTTTAAGATATGGCAGTCATACTCCTAAGCTTGTCCTGACATACGGTTGAATTTCTGCCTTATTAAACCTATGAAGGAATATTTCTATGACAAAGTTAGACAACCTAAGTAGCTAATGTCATAGAATACTCTGCATCATATACAAATCTTTCTTTGTTTCTTATAGATACTTCTCTCTTCATTCTCTTTCCTTCCTCTCTTCTGCCCTGTCTTGGTTATTTTGTTTTTCAAATGTCCTACCCCCAACTTAAGAAAAAAAAATTGTAATAAGTATGCATTGTTGAGCAAAATAGATTTTTTTTCCCCATTGGTGATGACTGGACTATTTCTGAAGACAGCCGGTGGAACTCACAAGGCACTATTCAGCCCCAATTTTGGTCCTTAAGACCTTACTGACCCCTAACAATACAATAGGAAATAAAAAAAAAATTAAAACTATTTAAAAAGATAGAGAGAAAAATAAATTAAGACACTCAGAAGATCTCTAGAATACTAGATTGTATACCTTGATGGGATCAGATACTTTCCTTTTGTTTAAAGAGTTCAAAGTGTCCTCAGAGGTCATCTAATCCAAACTCTAATATAGTACATGCATGTTCTCAATAACAACACTAATCTATGAACACGTCTTTTTGGACACTCTAGGTAAGAGGCAAAACAATCCCTCGTAAGGCAGCCTGTGCCTCAGCTTTGACACAGCTCCAATTGTTCAAAAGTCAAAAAAAAGTCCCTCCTTATATTAAGGCAAGATTTGCCTCCCTGTAATTTCCACACTCCAGTTATGAAACTGCAAAGAATAAGCTTAATTCTCCTGCCACATTGACAGCCTCTCAAATATTTGAAGACAGCCTTCCCACCCCCGCCTCAGCTCCTACCCTTACCCTAAGCCTTTTCTTTCCCCAGTCTTCTTATTCCCTAGGAGATATATTGTAGTATGTCATAGGAAATGAGGCGAGAACAAACAGCAGAGAGATATGCTCACAAATAGCAATTAAGACTTCAAACTATTCTTTAAAGGCTATGATTTAGCTTGAAAGATTTTAAAATGATTTAATCAAATTGCTGTGATAATTTAACTTCCCATTTACAGAAAAGATTCTAACTCATTCCAGCTATACCCATTCTCGATTCTGCTAATACTTAAATGCAAACTCACTAAATCTGCACGATTTAATTAGACCATGATTCAGCTGACAGACTGCTGGAGAAAATATTAATCTCCATTAGGGATCCTGGTTCAAGTTCTGGTTTTGCAGTTTTGATCTGTGTTTTGTTCTTTTGGCTAAGTCTACAGATTTATGCAGAATCAATAAAAACGGAAACTATGTTAATTTTTTTTAATATTAAGTTTCTGTAATGCAGTAATGGTGACCAGCTGAATTTAGCACATCTACTGTTGGCACCACAAGACAAAGATGAAGGTATTAAAGGAATGGGATTTGTGTGAAAAAATGAAAATGCTTATAGTTATCCAGATTTTAGGATCACAAAGTTGGGCAGAGACGGAGAGGGTCATTTAGTCCAATCTCCTCATTTTACACAAGGAAAATGAGGAAAAAATGGTTCAAAATGATGAGCCCAAAGTCCAAATGCTAAGGGTCAAGAGTCAGGATTCAAATCCAAGACCTCCGATTTCAGATCTAGCATTCTTTGCCCTTTGCCACAGGGCTTCCTGATTGTGATACTGTCTGACCTCCCTAGTCAACCCATGAAAATCAGCTAAAAATTATTTTATATCTTTAATCTTCTTCATCTATTCCATGTTTTATTTTTAAAAGGTTTACACTAGCATCTTGTAATAAAATTAGAAAACCACAAACAGTATTAGGAGACTGGTTTTTTGGTGGTTATTTTTATTCTGGTGGTTTTTGTCCTGGACACAACTATAAGAGATAAAGTTTACAAACTTGAAACTTTGAATCCACTCAAATATCAATTATGGAATTACTATGTGGTAGGCACTGAGGACACAAAGTACCCTCATTATTTTGTAAGTTTTTTGAGAGCAGAGGCTGTTACTTTCTTTTATTTTGGCAGCATGGGTGTATGTGTTGGGTTTTCTTTGTATCTTTAACACTTAGCAAAGTAGTTGCTTTAATAAATCCTTGGTATAAACTTGAAAAAAAAAATGCAAAAACAACATAGTGAGTTTCCATTCCAAATAACACATTATGGCCCTTTCACAGTGCTTAGAATCATCAGGAAGGACCAATAAGCTTTTATTCTACATAACTATCAGCTGTTACTGGATATAAAAACAAACACATACACACATGCAGTAGATCTCTGTTAAGATCTCTTCTTGCTCTAATATGCTATGGACTTATGAACAAGGTTAAGTGCTTTCCACCACTAACCAGTCACTTTAGGAAAGTGGTTTTTAACTACTGGTGCACAAACAGATTTCAGGGAATCTATGAACTTGGATGGGAAAAAAAATCAACTTTACTTGCTTTGTAATTCTATGTATTTTATTTTATGCATCTAAAACTATTTTTCAAAGACAGAGTCCATAGGTTTTGCCAAGCTGCCCAAAGGGTCTACAACACAAAAAATGATTAAGAATTCCTCCTTTATTTATGAGGTTGAATGCTTACTGTAATGATGCTACATTTGCTTGAAACATCACCAGGGCCATCTCTTGGAATTTCTAAGTTTCTGGAACTTTCTTTTTTTTTTAAAACATACTCAGTGCTAACAACTCTTCGTCCTTGGAGGGCAGATTTGATTTTCAGAAACAGCCAAAAGCTCATTCAAAATCAAATATGGCAAATAAATACTGGTTTAATTCCCCTATCCCCTTCCTTCAAGGCTTTCCTCAAATTTGCAAGCCCTCAAGAAAGATGATTTTGCTCTTGTTATAAAATAACACTTTAAAACTATCTAGGGTAGTTTTTCCCTACAAGGTCTTTCATATGTTCCTCTGTCAATGTCTTCACCCCTATCTTCAACCCCTCCAGGATTTTTGGACCCACAGTAACTTGCTGGAAATTAAGTAGAACTCTATCTAGAGATTACAAAACTTTTTCAATGGACAAGTAGCAAAAATCATTAGTTGTCTTGATGGCTAATCATGTGACATGTTAGTTTCTATTATAGGATACAAAATGAATTGGAAAAAAAGGTAATAAATTTCTTGAGACAACT